TTTTGGGTTGGTGCTGGACTGGTCAAAGGGAAGACCAAATGCCCAGGCTGACATGGCCACCTCCACTCAGCCCTGGCTATCCAGCCACATGTGAACTAAGGCCCAGTATTGTTCCATCTACCGGTTTTCCAGAGAGGCTAGAAATCTTGATTTTATATGAGACCTGAGGAATTAAAAATATGGGCACAAAAATTTTTCTTTAAAACATTTTTGCAGGCCAACTCAAAGATCTCCAATCTGGTGTGAGGGTCTTTAGTTTGCAGTCTGTGTGACAAGTTAAAGCCTTACTAGTCAATTATCTTAACCATAAAGTAGCCTCAGATTGGGCCAAGAGAATTTCATACTTTCAGCAGAATTGAATTTTGATTTTAAAAAACATTTGAAAATGCTTTCCCACTGAGCTCATGAAACTGATGTAGTAAGTGAGAATGGCCAGTTTTTCTCACTTAAAAGTTGATTGAGGCTTGATTTCCTGCATGAATTATTTTTATTCTAGTATAGGTGGCGTTCAGCTGGTTTCTTGCCATAATTATTCAGCAAGTGCACCTCATGGCTTAATTTTTGTCCATTTGTGGGCCAACATCATGGCTGGTTACCACCTCTGAAGTCTGTGTTTCTAGGCACCCTGGTATGCTAAGTGTTGTCAAATCAGGGTATGTGGTGGAAACATTTGAGGACGGGGATGTTCATTAAATGTCGTATTTAGGTCATTGAGTGATGTGATTGTGTACGTCATCTCTAAGCAAGCAGGAGTATTTTAATACTAAAATATGAATGGTATTGGATTCCTATCATGTGCTGTGCATCGTGCAGAATGTGTATCATCTAATCTTCACAGAGTTCTGTGAGTTAGATATTGCCAGCAGCAGCAGCAGCATTCCTGCTTCACAAACCTGGGTGCTCAAGTGTTAAGTACCTTAAATAACTTGGCCGTAGGTTCCACAGTTAGTGAGTAGTGGAGCAAACCCCTGACCCAAGTCAGTACTCCCTGCCTGCCCGAAGCCCAGGGCTGTTTTGCCAATCTGACATGTTTTTCTTTGCGTCTTGGGGAACAAGTGTTATTTGGGGATCCCATGGTGCCTTGAAAGTCTAATAACAGGAAAGAACAGGGTGGAGGGCAGTGAGCAGCGTGCTGCTCTTCTCCTGATTTTAGTCATTCAGAAGTGAATGACGAAAAAAGTCTCACTGAAATTTACAGTATGTATGGGCTGAATCGTGTCATGAGCCTGATGCCTTCGCTGAGACTCAAAGTTCACAGTTCTCCATCAAACATGACAGCTGGGGACCTTTCTGGGACGTGTTAGCTGAAGGCACACATTTCCTACTCCGTGTGAGACAAAGGGAAGAGACAGGGTGGCTTGTAAGCCAGACCGAACACTGGTGAATGAAGCAGAGGGATGGTTTTTAATAGTTGCATGCAGGAAGATTAACACAAAATGCTAACTTGCGTGGTATCCAGTGTTTTCTGTAATTATTAATATCATCAGACTTGAGTGTAGATTTTTTTTTTTATTAGGAAGGCCCTTTTATCAAAGACCTCGTCTAAAATACAACCTCCTTTTTATTCTTCATGGTTAAATCAATGATAGCTATTTGGCAGAGGTTCAAAACTATTCCTGTTAACTTGTTTTTAATGATATTTGATTTATGTGTGTGCCCAAACCGCCAACATGTGTGTACGTGTATTTACTAATTGCAGCTATCTGCATTTAAACACAGTGTTGTCGTGGGAAATGAAGCATAAAACATGAAAAATGTGTAATTATTAAGGAGTTAAGGTTACAGTCTTTACCTCTTTCCAGAGCAGGGATTTTATGATATAGCTTTGATTGGCCTTTGTTTCATCGGAGGCAGGGTCCTGGATGGTTTTGGTGATCCATTCTGTAACTTTCTAATTAATTGCAAGATTCTCTCTAATGGACATAAATGGATTAACACATGGGTCTGCCTGTTAACACATGCTTTTCTTTGGGCTTATGCTGTGCTCCCGCCTAGCAGGCAGATGGACTCCTCAGAACAAGATGGAAGGCTTTGGAGAGTTCCCTCTGAGAGAACTTGGGTGTTTTTTCTTATTTTTCTTGACCTGATTTTATAAACAAAGAACGCACCAGCATCTGATATTTGTTCAGCACCGAATGCATTTGCTTGCATGCTTGTAATAGTTCTGCAGAATACAACCATTAATGATACCTGAATTTTTATTGTAGACAATCCACGGACACAAGGGACCAATCACTGCAGTGGCCTTTGCTCCCGATGGACGATATCTTGCCACCTACTCAAACACTGACAGCCACATTTCCTTCTGGCAGGTAAGGGCAGGGGCCACAGGGTCTTGAAGTGCACCCTGCACGGCACACTTTCGGCAGGTGGTGGGTGAGGCTTTTCGTCCAGCCTGCCTGCCAGCCCTCCTTCCTGTCTCCACCACCCCTTTTTTTTGAACAAATATCAAGTATGTATTTCCTGATTCCATCCTGTGCCAGGCTCTAATATGGGAGGTGCTAAGAATACAATTAGCAATCTGAAACACTGTATCTGGGCATCTGCTCTCAAGAGCTTTCAGTCTGAAGTAGACGCAGATAAATAAGCAATTACAGTGTGTCTGGTGTAGGGAGAACCTGAGAATAAGGGCATGGGAAGCCTTTCCAGAGGAAGGGACACCAAAGCTGAGATGCAGGTGGTTTTGAGGAAGGGCTGGTGCATGGTCCGTGGGGAGGAGTGGGTGAGAGAGAATTGGTGTATCCTGCCAGTCAGCAGGAAAAGGGTGAGGCGTGGTGGGGGCCTGGCCTGAAGGCATCTGGCAGGGGAGGCCTTTCTCAGGTCCATAATTTACACAGGCCATTCAAACAAGGGTCTGCGACACCAACAGGGTATAGACAGGGTAATAAGGCATTCACTATTTAAACAACTTTTTTAAAATCTAGGTATCTTTGGCCTGCAGTTCATGAGATGCCCGTGTTTAATTCTGATTAATGTAAATGTTAATTTTGAGCAGCTTTTACCAAAGAACTTGTTTCGACCTCAGTGCTTAATCTTTATTCCACTTTCTTTTTAATTATCTTACTCTTTTAATCCTGATAATTACCAAAAACAGTAAATTTACCACCACCCCCCCCTAAAAGAAGTTAATTTAAAATGTTGTTGTTATTATTATCCTAAGGTGTTAAGTATGTTTTATGAGATTCGGTTTATTGCTTTGAAAGCTAAAACAAAATAAAAGTTTAAACGAGGCTTCAGCCCAACTTGATGATGGCTTTAAAAAATCAATAGCTAATAAAATGTAAAACGGATACAATAAATTGCTTAATTAACAACATGCTATTAAAGAATGACAACGTCAGAATCTGTCGCAGACTTTTTCTGCTTTTATCTAATTTAGTTTTCCAGTTTATTTTCTCATTATGCTTTCTTCCAGAATATATCTCCGGCGTCTTCATGAGCTCGTACTAACCTCTTTTTGTCAGAGATCTCATTCAGTCTCCACTTTTCCTCATATGTAACCACAGAACTGGTGTTTCTGATCACCAGAATCCCACAGTGAATCCATTAGGTGTCTGGAAACCAGACTCTTGCAGAAATGGTTACTTAAAGAGTTTAACCACTCACGGGTTTTCCCCCCTCATGTCTCACACAGTGGTGTCTGTGACTCCCCCTGTACTTTGATACAGAGTTTCCTTTATTTTCCTGTTCTCTTGGGATCTTGGAGGAGAATTTATGTAAAGCTCCATTCATTTCACATTTCCTGGGTGTCCAGGTGGCAGGTACCGGCCAGTGCTGTGCTTTGGAGATGCAGAGACCAGTAACTCATGGTTCCCTGCTTGCAGAGAGCCCATGTTTTGCATATGCTTTCTTCTTTGGAATAAACCCCAAAAGCTCGCTTTTATTGGCTCCAACTTTTTTTCTGCTAAGAAAACATAATTTGTTATATAAAGGAATACCTTAAAAGTTAGCCAGATTTGAAAGCTTTCCTAGTACTTCCCAGAACTTCCTAAGTGGCGAATTTTCTTTTTTCCCCTTATCTGGACCTTCAGAGTTCTAGTTAGATAGTTCATCCCTTCCTTGAATATTTTTCTAGTTCTGCCAAACTTTTGGTCCAGCTCAGGGATGGGATTATGGGTAGCAGCCTTTCTTACCTTAGAGATCAAGCTCATGCATTAGACATCTCATGCATTAGATCCCTCCTTTCACCTTCCAATCCCTCTCTGCAGGCTCCTGCTGTTGTCCCTGGGCTTTGCCAACCATACTTAAGCCAGGGTGGCTTTGCGCACAGTGGGGCTGCAGCACATTTCTTTAGTCTCTGAGCTCTCAGCTTCTGCCAGGGCTGCCTTGTGTTATCTGCACCCACCAGTGCACCAGAGCAACTCAGGCAACACACACATCTTCCTCGAAACCCATGTCAGAATTTAAAATGCAGCCCATTTCTGGATGTTTAAATTATACTCGGCTCAGTCTTGAAATTTTAATGAAAGCCACAAAAACAGATCATTGCAGCTTTCTCAAAAAGAATGCACCAAAACCTCTTCCAGAAGTGTAATGCTCTTTTATTTGAATTAAAGAGGGTCCAAAAGGCAGTGTTAGATCTGCTGCTGCTCTCTCCAAATGGGCTTCGCTGATTTATTTAGAGACTTGTTGTTTAGTTCTAATGATGTATGAGAATACTTTCATATTATTCCAGTAAGTGTACTGTAATATATTTTGAAAACTTAATGAAGTCTTATTAATACAGAACCTTACTAAAGCTATCAGCTATTAAAATCTTTGCTGAGAAATGAGTGTTAATGAGAAATATTGCTTGGATAATTACTCAAGTGAGACTTAGTAAAAGGGTTGTATGCAGCATTACTTACACTGAAGACAGCACTAAAACATTTGCTGTTGTGATGAATTCTATCTGGGGGTATTTCTGTATGTTCAGAAACATTCTTCACAGAACTGGTTTTGTGAAGCCTGAGTTTAGAAGGGAAGGAAGACACCAAGTTGCATTTTAGTTAGTTTACCTCCTTATCTATTGAATGAACTAGTGTGGCAATCTTTCAAGCCCTTTGATTTTCTACCATCGTATTTCTATAATATTTCATTTCACATTGGTTTTTTTGGTTTGCTTTGTTTTTTTGAGAAAGAGTCTCACTCTGGGTGGAGTGCGGTGGCCTCATCATAGCTCACAGCAACCTCAAACTTTTGGGCTAAAGCCATCCTCTTGCCTCAGCCTCCCCAACAGCTGGAACTCTATAGGTGCCTACCACAGTACTGAGCTAATTTTTCTATATTTAGTAGAGACAAATTCTCCCTCTTACTCAGACTGGTCTTGAAGTCCTGAGCTCAAGCAAGCCACCACCTTAGTCTCCCGGAGTCCTGGGATTACAGGCATGAGCCACCATGCTGGTATTTGAGCAAGAGAGGTTTGGCAAGAAAATACATTCACAGCACTCTTACCTAAATCTTACCACCACCATCCAATAAATAAATATCCTCTTTCAGAAATGCTAATGATAAATTAGATGGATATTGGTTTCATTTATTTTTATTTACTCCCTTACACAACACAATACCATTCAACCATTTAAAAAGAATGATGTAAATCTATAGTCATTACCATGCGCAGATTGTCCTCAATATCTTGTTGAATGAAAAAACAGATTGTGATGCTGCCTTTTAATACGAGCCTGTTTGTGCAAAATTCCTCAAATCTGTTTTTCCTAATTAACATGGGGGTCTAGTAGCTTGTTTACCAAAATATGAACACCAGTTTTCTCTAGGAAATGAGATTTCAGGGGATTCTTACTTTTTGAATTTCTCTTTATTATTTGACTTTTCCACAGTGAGTATTTGCTATGTTTGTGATCAAGAAAAACTTAATGTTACCAAATCTTCTACCACATAATTCCATATAGTTTTCTTGCTTTCTTTCTCTTCTGATCTTTTTTATTTCTTTTTAATTTTTCGTCTGTCCTGTGACACAGTTTGATTTTATTCAAGGCATGAATTACCCTTACTTGAACATAGCTTGCAGCCATTTGCAGGGCAAGAAAACATTAATATGGAATAACAAAACAGTTCATTGTTTCAGGGAGAGTTCTGTGGTTGGGCTTCTTGGCAAAATTAATACTCATCCTCACTATTTCAGATTGATGCCTAATCTGAAGAGGTCATAGAGAAAGGATGATCTGGAGAATAGTGCATGTTAGCGTATGTGCGGTCTTCATGTCCCAGCCATACACAACTGTAAATAGTGTACTTGGCAGAATTTTCCACAGCCCTCTTCTGGGGCATGAAGACTAATTTGACCCCAGCAAAGGAATTTGTCAAAATAGGGATGGCTCAGGTTGTATTAGGAACTCAAGTATAATAATGCCTCTCCTTAAATCTTTCCATCTGAAGGTTCCCATAAGATATTCTCTCCCTCTTTGCCTTTAGTCCTCAGTGCATTTTTGTTTGTAGCTAACATAAAGGAAAGAATTAAAAATAGGGAAGTGTCTGAGCATGGTATGCCTCTTGCATTTTTGAACCACCAGCAGAAATCAAGCTTCATACATATTTTCAAAGAAAAATCTATAAAGAATGAAAAATACTTTGTAGTTATTTATCAACTGAGAAATTAGATTTTTTCAAAAGCATGGTATGCCTGTTGATGCCAGTTAATTTTAACCAGCGATTTTCCAGGTCATTTGGATCTGTTCCATAAGAGGACTAAATTATCATACGCCATTACTTTTTGTAGAAGTGAGACCCATCAAATCAAGCTCACCAGCATTATTTGTATTTGAACTACGTAGTATCTGGGGACCTCCAAGAAAGGAACACGGCATTGAATTTTATCTTCTACATAGTTTAGTAGGGAAGGAGGGAAGGAAGCAAGGAAGGAGGCCCTTGGAAAGATGGCAGAAGGGAGATGCCTAGCTGTGGATGGAAACTGAACTTTAACAGAAAGAGTTAACAATAACCATACATTTGGTTTTAAAATGTGACCTCGGTACACTAGTGATTTTTTTTCACCTCTGTGTTGTGTTCGGCACTATTATTAATGCAGGAAAATCAGTAACATTAGTCATCTTAAAAGGGTTATTACTCAAGATGATTTAAATTGTGAAAATGTCAGAGCAGCCTGCACGCACTCTGCTAGAGATGCCATGATTTACGCCCTCTGACACCATCCTGCTGCTGAGAAGAGCTAGAAAAAGGAATGGCTTGTGTTTCGCACCGATCCCCACGCAGAGCATGATACCAGCAGTAACGGATCCTAAATGTCCTGGGATTTGCCAGGGTTTCATGGCTCAAGCCCATTTGCATGTGTTTGGATCATAATCTACATGTTTCACGCAAATCCCTAGAAGCTTACACGTTTAGATGAAGGTTTGACTGGAGAGAAAAATTAGAAAGAAAAAAATACTATTTCCAAGGCCTCTTTCCTGGTTTTCAGCACGGTTTCTATGTGACTTGTAATAGCAAAAATGATATGTATTGCAAATGTTTTCAGTAATAAAAGGCATCTTCAGACCCAGTTGCTCGGGTAACAGTTCACTTAGATAACCACCATTCAGTGTTTAGCCCTTTGACCTGAATGCCTAGTCATTCATTAGTCATAATTTCCAGGTTATTTTTCATTTATGTGAAGGGATTAAGAAAACTTAAAAATTTAAATCAAACCCAGAAAATGTGGCCCAAAGCAGAAATCCCGAACAGATAATAAGAAGTATCGTCAGTGAAGTATAGAGGATGCTTTCTTAGTGTGGTAGCACGAGGGGCCCAGACACAGTGTTGAGATGAAATTGAGTCTTATTTTTCCCTTCAAAATAAGCAAGAGCTTTCCGGAGGTGGCGTTTTTAAAAAGCTAGAGAGGAGTGAAGGCATTGGCAGGGAGAAACGGAGGAGAGGAAGGTTTGAGCGCTGGTCCAGTGACCTGTCACTCTACCGGCCGCTTCACTGCTCTGTTCTCGTGAACTAATTATAAATCCCAGAACTTGGCTTGATTGACTCATCCTTCAGGGGACGCAGTTAGCTTTGTTGTTAAAGAACAAAAAGGCCTACAGTTTTAAATGCCCACAATTCCCAAATACCTGTTTTGTCTAATTGAACCATTTTATTAACAGCTATAATTTAGCTCCCTTCCTAAAGATCAATGGACTCTCCTGCTGTCAGACTCTGCCCACAAAGTAAAATTTTTCTAGATTCATGCATTTGCTGTTACAGCATCAGAACAATTCCAGATACACTGAAAGTAACCCGTGAGAGGTTAAGGGTAAAGTCTTAGGTGAATCTGAATAACCGTGATGGAGGAGACAGTGACCTAAAGTGCGTGGCCAAGAGACAGAGCCGGTCTGTGTGGTGGGGCGAGGACAGGTCCTCAGTGATGCATGTGCTGTCCTGTCCCCTGTCCCTCCAGATGAACACGTCCCTGCTGGGAAGCATCGGCATGCTGAACTCGGCGCCCCAGCTGCGCTGCATCAAAACCTACCAGGTGCCCCCCGTGCAGCCCGCGTCCCCTGGCTCCCACAACGCCCTCAGACTGGCCCGGCTCATCTGGACGTCCAACCGCAATGTCATCCTCATGGCCCATGACGGGAAGGAGCACCGCTTTATGGTCTAAGGGCATTCTGCCAGGCTGCCCTTCAGTTCTCTAACTTCTCTAAGCCGAGGTCACTCTGCCCTCACAGTGGATCCTTCCTCGGGGCTGCCCACCCAGAGTCACCCGGGCCGCAGGGTCTGTGTCACTTGTGCATGCTTCTCAGGGGCAGACTCCGGCTCGTGCCACCTACCCATTCAGGGGCATGCACACACCACTCTGCAGGATGTGGCCATCCTGTCACTGGGGAGTTTCCCTGCCAGAGATGGGAAGGGAAGCCAGCGGTTCCCGGGAACGCTCTTGTTGCTTGGTGCAACAGAAGCCCAAAAATCAATACACACTGTGATTGCACTCCCAGCCCAGATCAGCATTTTCAGCCATCTAAACCCCATCTCTGAAGTGCCGCTTGACTCCGGTCACTCTGACGCTGGGTGTTGAGGTCATGTGGCAGTCCTCATTATCGAAATTACTTCCCCTGGCGCTTCCTAAAGCATACTGTTGTTTACCAAGAAGATTCTGTGTTTACATGGTTTTTTTTTCTCTCCTGGTAATTGCTAGGCTATCCCTGAATCCATTTTCCTAGGATTTAGCCATTACCTTTCTTTATGAACACCTGATTTGAGATTATGAGAAAACATACAAAAAAAATTTCCTTATAGAAGGTCACCTAGCCTTCTCAAGCGCTCCTATTCTACTTAGAGGATGGTGTATTTAGTCATTTAAAATAAAAACATCACTACTTAGGATCTAGTTAATATGATTATCCCATCACTGTAACAAATCTCTTAAAGGGACTTGTGTGTGATAAAGAACTGAGTTTGGAAGCATAGCATATACCTTAAATGAAGACTCCCCTATCTGTTGCTTCAGATCTGTTTGTTTGATTAAGAAAGAACTTCCCCCTTCCTCCAGAAACTTGACAAGCCTGCAGTTTCCATATGTGTGACATTTGTCGGTTGTCACACAATAATTCTGCCTTCAAACTACTCCCAATCAACTAAGTAAAAGCTAAGAAGGCATTTCTTCTAAATAAGTATCCTAGAAAATTAGTAACTATGGCACACATGTTCAGGAGCGTATATAAAAACATTGAAGGCTCACATTTAATTAGTGCGAATTCTGCAATGAGGTTATTTATTATGCTTCGAAATAAGCTTTAAATTCTCCTATGTCAATTATGCAGATTCTTGTTTATAATAATGGGGGAAAAATCCATAAAATAATATTTTGTATGAATTACTCCTGAAAACCTTGATCTGTGAATATAGTTGGGAGAGTTTGTTTGCTTGGCTCATTGCTGAGTGATGGATGAATTGGTCAAAATGGTTTATCAAATGCAAAAACAGAAAATGATTCTTTTCAATTCACAGAAAACATGAAAGTTTACAGAGGAACCAAAATTATAATGGGAGCATTTAATCTAAAAATCTAAAAAGCTTCAATTGGCCCGGGAAGGAATATGTCTGTTATTTTACTGGAACAGATTTTTTAAAGAACATACTAAGAAATTAAGACGACTACAGCATCTCTTCCACGTTGACATGAAGTATATTATTTCTATGGATGGCAAATCTGCAGTATTCTTTGGTTTTAGCTGTTGGGTATTGTTTCAAAAGTGAATTCTGCACATGCATGTACATTGTATTATAAAGATTATAGATGTAGTTTCCAAGGAAGAAACCACCATATGATACAGACTTTATTTGTTTGGTGAACATGCCGTCGTGTTTACTCTACCAAATGCGAGGTGGAGAAATGTGAGGTGAACTATAGGTGCACTTGGTCTTTCTAGTGGGCTCCCCACTCTTCTCTGCACCTAGCACGTGTTTACTTTATGAACTTAAGTGGAAATTAATTTATTCTAGACTGTAAAACTATTTGGAATGATGAGGTAAACATACACTTTATCGTCTTTTTTTTTTTTTTTTTTTAACAAAATGTTCTATGCTTCAGGAAGAAGGTGTCAGGATGGTAGGGAGGCCCCTGCAAAGGCCTGGGTGGCCCCACCCGCTGTGGAAATTAGAAGCAAAGCATACAGACCAGAGTAGCAAAGCCCCGGGGAGCCGGGCCTGGGACTGCCTCACACCTGCCCAGTCTGCACAGAAGGCCAAGGTGATCGGCCAGTAGAACATTCTGGTGGTAAAATTCTGGGGTGGATGATGTTTGGTGGCTAGACATCTCTCTCTAACGACTAAGCTAGTACTTACACTCTTGTTGACTTAAATCTCTCCTTGGCTATTGTGACAACCACAGTCCCCGACTTCATCCCAGCTTACATTTCTCTGCACTGAGGTACCCTTTGTATCGTATTGTCAATCCTAGTGTGAACTTTTTATGTTTTACTGATTTCATTGGTACTGTATCTGGACCTGTCCTTGTATGTATAGAGACATGTGGCTTCATTGGTAATTTACCTTCAAAAGGTGACATGCTGTGACACCAGTGTGAAAGTGTTGTAATGACTGAACTCACCGTGCAGCGCTGAGTGGAAATGTCTGCCTCCCCAGACGCTTCTCGACGGTTCCGCTAATACATTCTGTATGTGCTGAATCTCCCTGTGTACATATGTGTGTTAAATAAAACCGAATTGTCCTGGAAACTGTCTTTCTCATATTATTACTTTTTCCAGTGTTGACTCTTCTTTAACATTCTCAGTTGAAATCCATATGCTCCCCTTGCCTTTCTGTGTCTAAACCATCCATTTTCTGGAGAGCCAGCTACAGGAAGGCAGACTTGTTCCCAGAGGAGAGGAGAGCCGTGGAGCAGGACGTCCCCAGTGCGCAGTGCCCAAGTGTGGGACAGAGGTACCAGAAACTCAACAGCACCCTCTGTGGTTTGGGCAAGGGAATCGCACGCATGTTGCTTTATCTCCACGATAACCAGACTGTTAATTGTACCAAATTGTGTCAGATTTGAAGACGTGGGTTGGCTGCCTTATGGGAGCTGGACTGTGATCATTAAATTCATTTAATACTCAGCTTGGAGTTGAGTTTGAATCCTCGAAGTAAAGGTTGTAATTGGTTTTCAGGAAAAGTAAGAATGTGTGTAAGTGGAATACTATGCAGCCATAAAGAAAGATGGAGACTTTACGTCCTTCATGTTCACATGGATGGAGCTGGAAAATGTTCTTCTTAGCAATGTATCTCAAGAATGGAAGAAAAAGTATCCGGTGTACACACCCCTATTATGAAATTAATTTATACCTTTTATATGAAAGCTACAACCTAATAACAGCCTAAGAATATGGGGAGGGGGGAGGGAGAGAGGAAGGGGGAATGGATGGAGGGAGAGGGATTGGAGGGATCACTTCTGTGGTTTATCTTACAAGGGTACAAGTGAATCTTTCTAAGAGTAGAATATGAACATTTTAACACAATAACTTAAAAAAGGACATGAAGGCTATGTAACCATTTTAATGGAAGTGTTTCGGATTGTATGTGAAAATACCACACTGTACCCCAGAAGGGCATTAATGTACATAGTTACCATTCAATAAAAAAAAAAGGAAAAAGTAAGAATGACAAAGTAGGTCCTTATTGCTCACACAAGATCCTGTGTAAGTAGCAAATGCAGGCCTTTCAGTTCTTTCATAGAGGAACATAGAAGAGTGAACTGGGCCAGTCATCACGTAACAGCAGAAGTTTCCATAAGAATGAGAGGGACATTACAGGTGTGGACTGCAGCACCTTTGGACCTCTCAAATGCCACTTTCAGTCTCAGGAATCGTTATAACATCTCATGACTTAAGTATATCCTTATAGGGGAAACAGGGGCCATAATGGTCCTGTGTGATTGGCGATCACAGATACTGATCAAATGTGGAAAGGGTGTGACATTAATAGGAAGGTAAAGCCGAGTGGTGCTGGGTGAACTTTCACCTTTCACCCCTTCGGCTGACTGACAGAGCTGAGTGGTGAAGAAAATCAATACTTTGGAGCCAAGAGGGAAATATTTCTCCCCTCTAACTAGAGAATGTATTTTGACAAGGCCAAGATAATCCAAGCTGCACAGAAGAAAGAGAAAGGAAGACTCATTTTTAAAGCTTGACACTTGAAGGTGTTTTTGTGCAATGGTTTAGAGATCGTCAATACATACAAATACCAAAGGTCAAAAAGAAAAGCCAGAAGAATTTCAAAAATTAGATGTTCTTTTTGCTGTTTATACACACACACACAAAAAAGACCACAGAGAGGTTTGTGCTCTGTAATTGTCATTCCAATGAACTAAGCTCCCATTGTGTGTTCCCAGATCATCATCCCTCTTCAATCAAACCTTAAATTTTATTGAGGCAGCTTCATGAATATTGAATGCCCAAAAGGTGTTCATATTTCCTGCTTCTGTATATCTTTTTAGATCAGAATTCTTTTTTGAGCGGTTACATCATTTCGTGCTAACATCCCAATTTGGTTTTGAAATTCATGTTTCTTGCTTCTGTATATCTTTTTAGATAGGAATTCTTTTTTGAGCAGTTACCTCATTCCGTGCTAACATCCCAAATTTGGTTTTGAAATTCGTGTTGATGCTGCCGTGATGGCATTGTGAACCTTAGACCATCTGGTTCAATCCCTTGCAGGAGAAGAGAGTTCATGTACCCTCATTTAGAACTTAAATTGTTTCTAGTTTCCCAAATCCCTTTAAGCAAATTACTTATAAAGGTATTCTAATTAGCGCCCTTCTCAGTGAGAGGTTTGTGTACCTCTAAGAAGAAGGTAAACAGTTCACGCCATTGGTAACCAGCAAGATTAGGTCTGTTCATTATGTGAATAAATACTTCCATCAAATGGATGTAGATTCTTTTCTTTCCTACGGATAAGAAAACTAAGAAGACAAGCATGCCTATACCTTCCAGAAAAGCTCAGAAGGACAAGGAGTCCTGAGTATCTGAAGTCAAGTTCAGCTTCCCGGAGAGGAAGCATCTGGGCTGGGCATTGAAGAATAAATTAACATTATTAGGAGGCTGTTGAGTATATGGTAGGAATTAGTGGAAATCCAAAGTTGTACACAATCAGAATGGGTATAAACCACTTCAGAGCTGTAACTGGAAGGGCATCAGTAGATGCCACCAACAATCCGCACGGCTCGTCCCTCACAGCTTTTACTCCTGTGCCAAAGGACGCTTGAAATCTAAAAGGCAAAATCCCTAATGAAAGACTTCGCTGACTTTTAGTGTATTTCCATGTTTCATTTTCTTATTTTAAGAATAAGTTATAGACCCTTCATGTCCTGAATCCCAGCATGCACCCAGCAAGGTAAGTTGGATGTCTGGCGGGGTGCACTGCAAGGGTCCCCCCTCCCACCCCAGGATTGACGTGTTTATTCTCCTGGCTTCTGGGAGTGCTGCACCTACCAGCTCCCCAGCTGCCCCTGGCCAAAGGGAATTGTCTCCCTCAGGGCCTGGTTCCCTTTCCTGGAGGCAGCCACTTGCGGTGGTGGGTCAGGGAGGAGGTATAAAGACCCACCCCCGAGCTCTATTTCAGAACTGCCCGGAACACCGAGGCTGTGCAGAGCT